GTAGCCGATGACCACCGGGAAATTCCTATATACTGGACAATGTACATACAGTATTAAGATAGTCCTGGTTCACTCACATTGAGAATGCGTTCAGTCAAGGAGACGCAAGTGTCTGCGAAGGAAACCTTTTCCATTGGGTACATTTCAAATGGATGATAGTCGCTCTGAGAGATGCAGAGCGTTCAATCCTTGGATTGGTATCCAAGGCTTCAAGGTTGTGGGGTGGGTGGAAAGGATTCTGATGAAGGACATTCAAGATCACACACTGGGACTGAAATGTACCAAAAAAAAAACACCGTCATCAAAAGAGAGTCCAGGCTATTTTGGGTAAAGGGAACGGCAGGCAATGTTTTCCTGAAGAGCCAATATTCAAAAATATTTAATATTTTACTGTGCCTTTTCATCTCGTTTAGAACGCAAGTGTAAAATCTTATTTTCAAATTGTACAGAACACCAGGAGCCTACTCCACTTGGCTCTGTGTGAATCTGTGTTTTGTTTTTTTGCCACCATATGTCAAACTTATCAGAATCTAAAAAGAAAAAAAAAGGGCACACACAGATTGTCCACTGGAATAAAATGCCAACGTCTGAGCTTGCACCCAGGAAATCTTTGAGCAGTCAATGGAAAAATGGAAAAGGACTAAAATAATTTACTGCGAGATTGTGATAAAACACTTCCCCGTTTGTGCTTTTTTTGGTAAATAAACAGGGCGATACCCGATTCCAGTGTCAAGGAGCTGGCGTACGTACATACATACACCAATCACAGGATACAAATACAAAAGCAGGTTTGGACTGCGTTCAAATTACTGTAGCGGTGAAACTAGGAGTTGCTGCTTGGCAACGAGTCCGCATACTGTGTTTTACTACAAAGAATATTGCTTAGCAACACAGTGCTGTGCAGCAAACTATAAAATAAAAAAGCAACACAACACTAGAAGCAGCTTCTACATCCATTCTTAACATCACCTGCACAATCTCCTTGGGATTTAAGAGGACATACGTCAGATGGACATACTGTCTCGTGAACAAGACTCTTCGCTCCTCTACACAATAGAAAAAAGCATCCACAGGAAAAGACGACACAAGTTTACAAATTGGAGACTGCGGTACAAGAGAGGTTCTGCCTTTTTACTGTTATAAACATTTTGCCCCCCGCCCCGAGCTTCCGCTTCCACAACTTTCAGACTGTGTTTGCAGTCTGGAAATGAGAGGTCAAAAAAATAAAAAAATAAATGAAAGGCACCAAAGATGTGGCATAACATAAACGCTAATAAATAGATACGTGAATAAGGAATGAATGTGCAGGAATGTTATTCCATTCTGATAAGCAGAAGGCCCAGAGATTTCATCCGCATTATTATTATTATAATTATTATTATACGATTACACAATAATTTTACAGTTTTCTTCATTGCTACAGGAATTGATTTATGAGCAGGTTGTTGCAATGTTTGTGCTCGAGTCCACGCTCTGCACACTACAAATTATATTTTAAATGACACAGGCAATGGAGAAACAATACTGCCTAAATTAGCCTATGCCATTCCACACTTGCCCAACTAGCATCGAAGAACTGACCACAATTATTGATCTTCTTACAAGTAATCTCAATGGCAATAGACAAATATTTTTGAAAATGTTCCTAGGTGCCAGAGGATAAATGAGCCTGATGGGACTACAACAATACGATATTCTGAAACTAATTCATTTCGAAACTTCAAAAAAGTTAAAGCTTTTTTTTTAAAAAAAATGGTTTTATATTTACATTCTTCACAAAGGGTCAAAAAGGTAATCATTCATTCAATGGTCACCAGACGATACAGCTTTGATGTGACGTTATAGTCATTTCAGAGTCATAGAGTCAATGACATTATGTGAAGATGTTTTTGACAATTTAACCTGGATGTGGACAAGCTGCTAATGCTATGTTAACTGCGGCCTAATTAAATCCTACAAGTTGCATAAAGGTGGGAAGTACGTTTGAGTTGTAGGAAGCTTCTGCCATACGGGTACATTTTTAACACTGTTAATGGGCGAGTTCTCCCCTTTTAGACTGGCTACGTCTGTGTTCCAAACAGGCACTGTCACAATCCATTTGACCCAGTAAATGAAAAGGTTTGGGTCACTCTGCCAATATTCTTCTCTCACTGCCTATTGTGTTTTGGCTGGTTTCCATTTTGAGTAGGATTATAAAATCAGACCACATGTACAGGATTAAAGGATCTTCATTCCCTATTAACTGTGAAACATCACCTTTTCAGAAAATCTACCACCTCTAGTTTATCCACTTCAGGTTCCTTTATAAACAAGCTTGAAAATCTACACGTGGAAAATACTCTACCAGCAAAGCGATTCCCCAGGTTTATTGGGCAGAATCTCACCCTCAGCTTGATATAGGTTTGTTTGTTGCCCATCCTCTTGTTGTAAGTCAGTGACGCGGGGGGGGAGGGAGAAAAAGACAGAGCGGCGGGGGGGGGGGAGCGTTCTACTGCTGGAGTGGTGATCTCCTACTGATGAAACAGAACTCACAGTCATGCACTATTCGTAAGCAGATCACTAGGTAAGATTAAGTCTATTGTGAAACTAATAATGTAGTACCCAGGTATTCAAGATCTTATACTCGTCAGAAGTGACTTAAGTCCACTACCAAGTGGCTCCACACAGTCAATCTATTCTATTTTGAAATGTGTTTATTATTTTTCCAACTTAGGGCATTCAACTCATTGCTACTTTAACTGATTTGTTAGCACAGCTATGTGATCGCTGCTTCTGTTGTTAGCAGAAAAAGCAGGTACATTTTAGGAATCCCCAGTGAGGTTCCACCGCACAGACGCACCTCGGTGTCATTTCTACATAGCATACCCAAAGCTGACCTGTGATGACATTGGATTGATAAACCTCAGATTTCAGCTGCACAAACAATTTTTCAATTTCTATTCTCGCACCCACCCCCTCTCCATTGAAAGCTCTTGTAATAGTGATGGACCACACAAACTATGCAACAACCCAAGTCACAAACAAGCCATGTGCAGTCATTCAACTGCCATTGAAAAACATTATGTACATTTTCCGAGTTTAAAACAGATGTAGAATCAAGATTTTAATTTCCCACACAAGCTGACATGTAACTTTAGTTTTTTTTCCTTTTTTTAAAAAAAAAATCACATTAGACCTCAGGAAGTGATCTATTCACTTCTTTATGCAAGCGCATGTCAATATCTTGTACTCCTTTTAAAACAGTGAAGTGTCCATTTCTCAATCCATCATTACGGTGGCAATTCAAGGATACAAAGACAAACAAAACAAAAAATAAAGCTGTTTGCACTAAGGCATTAATGTATACACATGATGCACATTTTTAATAAAAACAAATTAGTCCATGAAAATATTTGGAAGTTTACAAAGGGGGTAATAATCTGTGAACAATTTTGAAAAGTGTACATGGATAGTGGTTGGTTATTTCCTAACTTGGGGGAAAAAATACAAGCTAAACTGAGATAATAACACGAGATTATGCCTGGAAGCATGTTTTTAAACATGCAAGTTGTTGCTCAAGATCTGGTAAAGCAGTTTCTAACTATTCCTGCTAACACAGCTTTAAAGACTTTTCCTGTTCAATACAGTGCTGAACATGAGTTCAATTTCCTGTACTTAACAAGAGATTCATAGGAAAGCTTTCTCCAGTGAAGAAATGCTTCAATAGGAGTGCTGTGTTTCAATCACACCCCTGGAGTCAGAATTCTTTTGTTTTGTGTGGAGAGCGGGGAAGAGAAAGGTAAACAGTGCTGAGAGGGGGCTTAACAGTGTCGGAGCCTAACTCTGGGGGAGGGGCGGGGGTAGGGGGGCACGACGGACAGATGGGACCAGAGGGGAGGAAAAAAAACAAATCAGTTAGTAGGCAGAGTTTGGTAGCTGAATCAGAACTTTTTTTGTTTGACAGGTTAGAGAATTATCAATCTCCTTCAAAATACAGCAGAACCACATCGGTGAATGTAACCCTCAACTCAGGTGTGCACTTATCAGCCGGAGGTGAAAAGGACAGAAAGATGCAGCTAAAGAGAATATGTTGTACACTCGTGAGAATCATTAATTATGGATCCACCCCATCAACGCAAACTTGGACTATAAAAATCTGAGGACCAGTCCTCCTCGGTAAAAAAAACAACACGCCACAATATTGTAAGGTTCATGAATATAAAACATTGTAGAGAGGTTAGAAAACTACATACGAGGACTTCAACCACATGCAGTGGCACATCATTAAACTAGAGTATATTAAACTGTACCTTGCTAAAACTATTTCTGGACATTAAAAAGCAAATAAAAAATATAGAGAGGAATTAACCTTTGAAATTGGATCGCAGGGAAGCAATCCAACTCTTACTATAGATGGGAATTTGAAAAATTAATCTTAGTGAGTCATTCCTAAATTGCTGGACATTTTAAGGCTTGAAATAATAATAAAATGGATCTGCCATTATAAACACCAATTGCTTAATTCCCAACTTCCACAACCTTAAATGCTAGTCCTGCCCACCCCATTATTTAGTTGTAACATGCACACGTTAGAATGACGAGGCTCATCTTTGACAGTTTATGAAAAAAGTAGTTAATCATAGGATAAAGTGCAATGGTTTTGTTCACCTCATTCAAACCGTTCCCTACACCAAACCCCTCTCCTGAAGGGAAGAAAGTGCTCAAGCACTTGGGCAGTTTGCCCAAATGGGAGCATCACAGCCAACCCAGATCCTTTTTTCATTGTTCATACACACCCATGCACTCAGCAGGGATTGCAACCTGGAATCCATGCTCGATAATCTCCCTCCCCAAGCCAGTAGTACGTCATTCACTAACTGTGCACAAAACCTAGGTCCTTCCTGTAGAGCTTGGTACCACACAATTTAGCATGCACACTCTGGGGTTCCCAAGCCTTGGCTCTTGGCAACCTGCACCTAATACCCTCTGCGGTTAGGTAAGCAGGGTGCATCCAAGAGAGTGCGCATTTCATTCCACACACCGGGAAATTTCCACGTGTAGGTGTCATAAATATTTGGAACTTTCGGTCTGATTTGAATACTCTTAAGCATGGTGATGGGTTTCCACACGTATCAAGACACCTGACTGCCCCCAAAAAACGCTATATACCCATTGAGCCATTGGCAAGTCCTTAAAGCATTATAGATTCTAGATTATACCTTTTCCTCTTACGTTAATCATTATCCAAAATACCGACCCAACAAAATAAATGCACCTAATACTTGGATAAGGAAACCCTGTGGACAAGATAGCCTGAAAGACAATGTCTACTCATTTCATAGGTATGGTCAGAAAATACATGATTTTGTGCTTCTGAAAACCCTTTTTTCCATTAAAAAAGAAGCAATTGCACCTGGGGAAGAGAGAGAGAGCGAGGAGAAAGAGTGGGAAGAGATCATTTTACAGGACCTATAAATGTTATAATTTCCACGTGCTTCAAAATAATCAATTAATTAATTATATGGAATTGAAACCAAAAAATTTTTTTCTTGCAAGGAATTTTATATATAGGATATATATCAATATATATATATCTATATAGAACAAGTAATAGTTTACAATCTGACTGTACCAAAAGTTTCAGGTTGGGGAAAGGAGTGGGTGAGGGGAAGAGAGATAATTTAGGAGATATAGTTTGGGGTTTGGCACATCAGTAGAATTCCAATCATACCACCAGTAGACTTGGCAATAGATTGCACATTATAATATAACCTACTCCTCTGTAGGATTTGCTCTGATCTGTAGTAGGTCACATCCTTGTGGACAAGTAGAATGATTCATGGCTGGATCCCGGTTTCGAGAACAAAACGGACAGTCATGATTATTAGGTAAGCATGAAAACGGGTTAAATTCACATCGGAAAATACGTAGCTTAAAAAGAAAAGAATACCCCGAGCAAAGCACTAAAGAAAAAAAAACGGATAGAGTTTCTAAAAACACGCGGGCGTTTAGAACAAAAGAAACGAAAGCTGAAGCCACGGAACAGCATAGGGGAGACGAGCATCTTCATACTTTTCACAACATTTTTAAGTCCTTGTAAGTTAAGTAAAGGGAATAACATGCGCCAGTGCAATTTTAAACCAAAGTGTGACTGAGCACTTTCAAATACAGCGGGTGCAACTTAAGATACTAATTTATACAGTAATTAATGGAGAGGGGGGAGGGAGACGAGTTGAGACGACACTCAAGGTGTGTCAAGCTCTTGTTTTTCAAACTGGGTGCTTCCGCTACGCCCCCACCTCACCCCTCCCTCCCTGTCCTTCTCAGTAAAAATCAGCTGAATGTGTACAATTAAATGCAGCCCTGAGCAGACAGCCCAACTCAAGGTAAGAAAAGTCAATTCCTCAGTCTTGCGCTAATTAAAAGAATTTCTCGTGTTTGTTTGGACAGAAATAGCGTCCATCGATAGAATGATTTCATATATGTACATATTTAGACACCGGTAAGTCTATTTTTTTTGCAGCCTATTCCCAGACTGAGGTACAGACTGAAATAAAACCTACCTTTAAGCTAGTCAATAAATCCAGAAGCCTGAACATTAGACCACAATTTGAAAAACCAACAGATGATTGTTTTTTTTTGTTCCTTCTTGGAGGAAAACCTCTTATATCTCCTCTTTTATTTTCTTGAAGGAGATAACTGATGATCCTTAGTTTGCTTTTGTTTCTAAGTTACCAGCGTGTCTGCTGGTTACAGTTCTGGTTCAGCTGATAACGTGGCGCTCTTGTTTCCTTTCACCAGGGCGGAGATGATTGCAAGGCTTGCGGCAGAAAAGGCATGCTCTCCACTGGCCGGACTGCCACATTGACGGAACTTGGAGCGGGAGCTGGAGTATGGCAAACCTCGCCGCTGTCTGAAAGACCAAGAGTCAAGGGGAGGGGGAGAAAATAAAAAACAAATTAATAAGTGTGTCTGGAGTTCGTCTTCAAGTAACAATACATTAGGATTGTTCCACCTATCACAAGCAGTAACATTACATAAATTGTTTATAGTGTCCAAAGTATTGTTTTTAAATAAAGCTGCACAACTTATATAGTCCCAGAAGGTTTGGGCATGAAACTAACCAGACATTTTCCGCACACTTGCTTTGTACTTCCAATGTGGATTTTTTAAAAATTCTCATAAGCACTTTAATACAAATGATACTTAAGTGATTGAAAGATTATTGGGAAACTGTTCCACAAAAGTGACAGCTCTGTGCAAGTGCACGTACACACGGCAACTTGAAAGGACGTTACAACTGCATGGTCTGGTGATTACTCCTCTAAAGTGCTATTTAATAGAGGGCCCCATTGAAACACTGATCCACCAACTATTAACGAGGTTCTGGAAACCAGTGTAAAATAGCTAGGTATGATATGAATGGGTTTCCAGTTTTCAAACGAAACTATATTTACACTACAGCACTATACCAGGCAAGTGATACGTTGGTTCAGTTTTACAATTAAAAACAGCGGAAGCCAGAAATGCCATTGCTTTTGCGTTGTTAAAAAGTGACAGACACAAAACTATAACCTTTACGTGGAGAGAATGGAACAATCGGGGCAGCAGGACACGCACTTCTTTGTATGTACACGGATTTGCAATGATTCCTTTCAACAAGCAGCTCATGTCACTGAGCTAAGCGGGGGGAGACGGGGGGGGGCGGGGGGAGACGGGAGAGGGAACAAGAAGTGCTAAGTATTTTAAACAGTCAAAATAAAGAGTGGACAAGCTCACTTTTATAACATTTTAACAGCTGATCAATATGAGGTGGTTTGGGAACAAACCACCCATCGCCTCTCTCAGCGTGTCGCCAAGACTTAACCAGTCTACTCTACGTAACCCCACTGAGCCACGCAAAAATCAATTTATGAAGTAGGCACAAGGATCACTGCATGCAAAAGAAAAATCAATGTTGCAGTCATAGCTACCACACACACAAACACACACACAAAGAAAATCAGTGAAAATAGCATTTGTATTTTTCACTTCTAAATGCGTTCCCTCTTCTCTCCTGACAAGGTTAACACTAACATAAGATTTCTTTACCTCACCCAACCAGTCTTCCTTATCTACGAGAGATATGCTATCTGGGGAGGGATGGGGCGGGGAAGAAGAGAAATGAGACAAGACTGATCCTGTTCTCATCTGGCCTCCACACATGTGAACTTTGCAATTGGGGAGATTGGAGGAGGGGGAGTGAAGAGCCCACTACATTAGGAACTTTCCTGTTCCCAGCAGACACACTGAGGCTGATATTAGCAGCTCTACCATTATCCCACCTGAAATCGGGCAACAAGACAGCTCAGAGATTGAGCCAGAAGCTCTGTGTAGCTCAGTTTCACTCCTGGCAGTAGTTTTACTAACCCACTAACAGTAATTCCATCCCAAAGTTGATCACATACCACTAAAAAGTCACCGGTGTCATATGCTCAGCAAATGCGGTGGTGATAGCAATACAAAATACTGCTGTCATAGAAACAGTAGTAGGCCTTTCAGTCCCTTGAGCCTAGTCCGCCAATCTATAAGATCACGGCTGATCTGTACCTCGAGTCCAATTACCCACCCTTGCCCCGTATCCCTCGATATCACTTCCAGTTACAATCCCACGCAATCGCCATGTCTCTACTCATTGTACTCCAACCTCCCTGCCATCCCGCACCCACCACCCCCTCCTCCTCTTCCTCCACCATCATCACCATCACAGACCTATGTATTGGCAGCCGAGCAGCTTCAGCAGCTGCTTCATAACCAAAAAGCTTGCGAGTTTTGAGTCCCCAGGGCTGCCTCTCACTCCAACTCACTTGCCTCAGTTTGGTGAGTTTGTCAATTCTCAACTGGGCTGCTGGAGGAAGCGCCACGCAGGACCAAGGTATTCCATCTCAGGTGGGGTGGGGCTGCAGGAAAACAGGCGGAATCCAACTCGCCCCATTTCAACTGCGCTGGCTGCTGCGGCTGCTGGCAAATGGCGGAGCGGCATTGACAGTAGCTGTAGTGAAGTCCTGCCCTGAAGGGGGATGTGAGGGAACGAGTGGCGTCCGTGGGAGGAAAATCTAAATTAAAAAAACAAACTCAGGCAGTTGAGACTATTAGTGGCTGTCACAGCACCAACAAAAAAAAATATTTAAAAAAATTCACTGGCATTTTTGTTTCCAACCTCAGCGACTCTGGTTAATTGGTCCGAAATGAAGACTTCGGCAGTGTTGTCAATAGGCTTATTTAGTGTATCAGTAGTTTCGATAAGCTACAGGCAAAAAACATCAAGCCAACGCTCAATTCTTAATTCATTGGCTCAAATTGCTTCCACCTCCAGTGACAGACTCGACAACCACTAATCTTCATCTCAGTGTTGTATAGCTCAAAACTCTCACTCCAGACTCGAGCAAGCTGGGAAGGATAAAAATTGTCACTGCTGGAGTCTTTCCATAATTCAAGTGGACGATACGAATGTTTAATAATACATCTGCAATTGTACATTAATTCCTGAAGTCTTAGTGAAAACAAATGGCAGCAGTGCAGATGTGCAAACATTTTACACGCCTACCACTACACTTGACTTGAATTCCTAGTGACAACACTGGTTTAAGCGGAGGAGTTTACAACTTTATTGGATAGCATTTCAGACGATTTGTGTGAAATAAAAAAAAGGGCCCTAGCCCCCTAAAAGTACAGTGATCCGTAACTCGGAAATGGCTTTCATGCAAGTTACTACATATTAAAAAAANCTACTGCACGTTAACACAGATGATTCCATGGAAGAACATACACATTAGCATTCAATAGATCGAGGAGCTACCAGGACAATGCTGCCACTCGCAGGACACTTTTCAAGCCTTGCATTAATCAAAACAGCCAAATACAGCCCAAGATACTTAACACTTTACAGTCTAAATCAAACTACATCAGCATTGTGTACCGATTATCTGATATGAGTTTAAGATTTTAGAACCCCCAAAATATTGCTGAAATAAGCCCAATTTTAAACAGTACAGGCCGGGTCTAATGGGCTATTGAAGATCTGATTAGGGAATAGGCTGTGTGTAAAAAAGATCAGCCTAGGTAGGACTCTGAAGCAGCCCTAAGGGATTTTGTAGATGTGGGGTTAAGAGGAAAATCCATCGCAACATCATGTCTTTCATCGGAAGAGAATTTTAAAAAGGTTAAAGCATTTGTTTCTCACTGAACTTCCTCGCGGTGCGATCTTTGGTAATCACAGCAGCCGTGATGCTTTGCACCACTAACTTTGTACAAGTGTCTGCCCCTGTGTTAGCAGGATGTGCAGAACAATCAGGAGCTGAACTGGAAACAAAGAGGACGGCCTTTAACTCGCCGCTAAGTGCTGTGACTCTCACAGTGAGCACTTAGTGGTAAGAGGAATTTCCACGGCCCCCCCACTCCTAGATTTGCAAAATCAGACTAAATTTTTTAAAAATTTGTAGTTCAGAAACAAAAGGGCTATTTTCCCCCCCTCTTCTCTCCAAGAGAAACATTTCTAGTCAATTCTAAGGACTTTAGAATTGAATTTTAGTCAATTCTAAGGACTCTTAAGTGATCTGAGACGCTACCCTGTCCAGAGAGGGTGCTATAAAAGTGCAAATTATTGTTGCTTGGTGTTCCAATAAAAATTCCACCTGGTCAAAGCCCGTATGTATTAAGATCTTAAGATTTAAGAGCGTGCACAATCGAGGAAAAATTCTCAAGCCCAGCATTCATTGGGAAGCCAGCTCTTTTTAAAGACCTGCTTGTGAAAATGTGACTTCTATATTAAGACAATTTAAGATAACCCCACAATTCTGTGCGATCTTCAATCTTACGACAAAATGGTCTTGCAAAGATCAAATGCAATTTCAGGCCCCTGGATTGTATATGCGGTGGGGAAAATGGTCTGAGCTTCAAGGTTCTTAAATTCACCATTAAATTCTACTATCAATAAGTTTGAAACACCACTGTTCCATACAAATCAGTGTGTGTTAAGTTTTTATAGTCTAAAAGTTTACCAAAAAATGCAAACGGATCATTAGAGCATTAAAGAATTGGGTTTAGATACTTGCAAATTGATCAGTGCTGCAAAATTAGAAATGCCAAAATGTTTTTTTTCATAAAAAAGCAAATATTCAAATGATAAATTGGGGTGGGCGTTGAATGGAATTATGATGGCTCTGGATTGATCCTGACAAAACAATTCTGAAATTTTGCATCAAAGAGAAATGCCACAAAGGAGAGCTGCCCTATGATCTGTTTCACCATGATAGTACAATTAGATACTTGAGCCCTTTTTAACCCAACCCACCCCATTCAAGAGTCCCAATAGAAGGAAGGCTTCGGTTTCAAAATGACCTGTTACGAGTGGAGCTTTCTCCAGGTGCAGGGTTAGGAAATGCTTGCCTTTTAAAGCCACTGCTGCCACAGGGGGGGCACTGGAAGTTGGGGTCTCTACCAAATGACTTTTCTTGTGGCCAATCAGGTGGTTCTGAGACTGACATTGCAGACCACACTGCTCACACACAAATCGGTGAGACTTGTAATGGACACCATGGTGGTTTCGAGCATGGACCCGAAGGTAGGCAGCCGTGGTAAAACCTATGTGAAAATAGGCATTTCAGGTGATAAAATAAGCATCAACACCTACTGCATACAGTTTCTGGGGGCATTTAAAAGTGGGCCATTTTCCCCAGCCAAAAAACAGCTCGGTTCAGCTGTCAAACGAAATCGCAATACATCAAACACTTTTTACCCCGAAAGTAGTTTTGAGACGCTCACATTACATTACTTACAGCCTGACTACAGTACGAGAATCTGAAAAGCAAAAGAAATCTTTTCTATCACACATCAGTCAATATTCCCTCAGATCCATTCTTTTAAAAAGAGCTGAATAGTTTGACATTCTGGCCCATTTTCCAATGGTGGCCTTCTATTATCCCCGCTGCACGCAAATAAGCCCCAACAGTTATACAACACAAACGTCATCACTGTTGAAACGTTGAATCTCTCTCATAGTTATATAGATGAAAATACGTTTGAGTCGAACAGGTCACGTGCAGACATAGCATAATCGATCAAAGGCAGTCATCGTAAAAACTTCGTGAAAATAGGCATTTCAAGTGATCAATATAAAATAAGCATTAATACCTATTGACTGATCTTAGAAATTAATCTGTGCTTGTCTGTTGCTTTTCTTATCTGCCTAATACAAAGACCTTTATCTAAGAGTCCATCAACTACTAAGAGTCTTTCAAGTAGGCTGTCTTTTAGTGAGGTACTTCCATTTGCTGATTTGTAAATAGAAAACCTTTGTGATATGTTTCTGCATACCCCTGAAGATCTTTTGCTGGTCACATTGCGAGTGGCCTTCTTTCAGTTGCCTGCAAAGGATAGCTTTATACAGCCTGGCATTGGCCTTTCTGACTGTGGGCACTTTCAGGATCATGATTTGCAGTGATGCTGCTGACCCCAAACAAAATGTTTGCCACTGGCTAGCCTGCCTTTCTTTTGGATTCACAGAATCCATAACAACTGGAACAAATCAAGTCCGTCAACAATTTTGATGTGCTTGAGGTAAATCGTCCATATCTGGAATATGGCAATTGCGCAGAAATGTTCACAACAATGGCATAATAAACTTTTGATGTTTATCTTCGGAATGATACTTTGACGATTCCTTGACAGCCAACAGGAGAGTTAGTCCTTTTAATAGGAATTGACACCTCTTAGTCAAAAGTATATTAGTGAAGTAGTGAAATACCAATTGGGTTTACACTGGGTGCCTTCAATGTTTTTTGTTGGAAGAAAACCTTGATTTTCTTAACTTCATCGACAGGTATACCCATACTGTTAAGAGGAGGGAGATTCTCTTGTACAAAGTATTTTCTTAAATACAGATTCCTAATATAGTGTCCCCAATTAATTTGGGGTCTGCTTGCGATGGTTCAATCAACAAAAAGTGTACCGAGGAAAACTAGTTAAGGCCAATTTTTTTTTCCTTCTCCTGACACCACTCAAGCTGGGATACAATTCTGCAGGCACCATACAGGTGTCTATTCTTCACCTTAGCCCGGGCAGCAAGCAAGGTCATCAGGGTTTGTTCACCTACAAACACCTGAGCTGATATCAGCTGACGCAGCACAGTTTTAATCTTAGCCACAAATCATAGTTCTACGGGTATATTGTAACAAAATGCTTAGAGATCCATAAATTGATTATTTTGGCTGTGATAATTCAAGAGCATGTCCTGTAACTTGCAATAGCCTCAGTGCTACTTGACACTTCAGTCTTCCATCTTCCAGTGTGTGGAGTGTTGGGCTTCTCAGTTGCACGTCCAGGGATAGCAGATAACAAGGAACATCGAAAAACTGGGTGTTCACTTTGTCCCGCAGTAATCAGATTTTTTACCCTCCACCATCTTCACTCTTCCTGTGTTGAAGGTATTCGAGTCTTGTTTGCCTCCTATTGGAGCTGCAGCTCCACAGGCAACGGGTGCTCTCTGGTACCTTGTCCAAATGCCCATTATTCATCTGCGAGTCTCGACAGCATGTTTCCGTTGGGTATTTGACCACCCGTGGCTTAGCCATAGCCAAATCTAATCCTGCCTCAACCAATTCCAAACACGGTTATCCGCTCCTACATGGCCAGTTCTTAGTCTGTCAGCTTTGGGGTCGGGATATTCCATTGCATAGGACACCACAGACGAATCCAATACTTTTGTTACTTTCCATTCTGCAATCCAGGCAGCAAGACTAACGGCAGTGTCGTCCTGTTTGAGGTTTACTCAACACCAAACAAGGATCGAGCACAGGACCTTTACTCGTCCACGTGTCTCGACTGCTCACTGGCTATACCAAGAGTTCATTGGGGGTAACTCGCCCATGCCCTCTTTGCCAGGTAGGTTTACAACATCAAGCATGCAAGACTATATCATGAAAACAAAAGCTATGGGTTATTTAGAAACCAGGACAATGGAAAGGAGGTGGGAGTGGATTTTAAAAAATGGAAATGCACGCTCTCCACATTCCAAACAATGTGGCGGCCAAAGTGTGCAATCGCAAGAGGCTATTGTCTCTTTGTAGTGCAGCACTATGTTGATGGAGGGAAAATAAAACAGCACGCAATTAGCACGACAAATTCAAATGTGATGGGGCGTCACAGAGGGAATAGTTGACTTCTGCAAGAATGCTTTTCTGTAATATATTTTCGCACAACATTTTACCCTGGCGAAATACTGCAAGCTCTGAGCTGTTCGCAGACGTTTCTTAACAACGCATGCAAGGGTCATTTAGGAATTCCACAAGAATAGCGTACCTTTGTTACAGACGTTGCAATTGTGATTTTGGTTGTGATTGTGCATTTTGATGTGGTTGGAGATGTAAGCCGCACTGAGCAGTTTGCCACAAATGTGGCAAGACACCTTCCCTTCGTGGCGTATCATGTGTGAACGCAAGCGGTCTTTGGTGGCAAAAGCAGCATCGCAAGTCTACAAGGATAAAAGTCAGTCATTAAAAAAGTTAGGTTGATTGACCTGAAACGTTAAACTAATTTTCCTCTCTCCGTAGATGTTGCCTGACCTGCTGCATGTTCCCAGCAACTTCTGTTTATACATTTCAAAAGTTACAAACTGTTATTTAACATTAAAGGTGCTAATGCTCAAAAGGCAGAACATTTAGGACTACATTAGTCTAAGAATTACCTGGACTTGACAAAAACCTATTTTAGCTATTACAATCAAGTTATTTTTCACCAATCTTCAAAACAGGGCTGGACTCAGCCTTTGTTAATTAACTTGAAGTTTTGCCAGGTCTTTATTTTATACCTGCATGTGCACCGTGTATATAATAATAATCATTGCATTTTATATAGCACCTTTTCACGTCTTTGAGACGTCTCAAAGTGCTTCACAGAATATACTGTGAAGTGAATTGGCTGTATGTTTTGTGGGCGAGATCTTGGCTGATGCACCCACACTGAAATGGGGCCGGGGGTGGAAGCATAAATATAAAGCTTTAACAATCTGGATATCATCAATTTGTTCGACAAAAAGGGCACTAATAAACCAAACCCTAACAGCAAGTCAATAACAAGAGCTCAGAAGAGAGTTCAGACAGTTTAAAGATATTTTACACGCACTCTGTATGTGGACTGGGAAGCAGACTGTGCCAATAAATTCAACAGGGAATTAGTTAGCGATTTAACGAATTGAGGGCTATGAGAGATACATAATAAGATTTTTAACTTTTTTTTAAAAAAATCAGACCAAACTTGCTACGTTGCTAACAGAAGATGGCACGAAGGTGTAGTTGGAAAGAAGGTTCAAGATTATTGCCCAATCTAAAACCGTCCTTTGAGTATTTCTTCATTTGGAAAAGACACCCACAACTTGAAAGAAGAGGTAAATAAGAAAGTTACTTGGCATTTGAAGGGTCTCTCTGTGGAATGAACATGTTTGACATGACAGCTCAGATGATCAGGCCTGGAGAGAAACAGAGACCATGTATTAGCCTAAGCAGAATCAATACTGTGCTGGCATTTTGCAATAAATACATAACCTGTCTCACCCCTCCGACAACTTAGCAGATAACTAAATAGCAGTGCTCCACCTGAAGAGTGCTATATAAATACAAGTTGCTATTGTAAATGCAATACAATCATAAAGGTGTTTCTTCCCTCCAATCCCTTGCTGAATAGCTTTTTTTTAAAAGAACAAAAACATTTAATTTGGGGACCATTTTACTTTTAACCATGTACTTGGCTTCCAATGCACCTTGAATGGGCTCACAGCAGATCAAGGTGCAGCATCTTCATCCGGCTTCACTAGTTCCCCATCCCCCAGAGGATCTAATTTAAATTCCTTGTCATCTTTAAATCCCTCCACGGTCTTGTTCCACCCTACCTCTGTAACTTCCTAAACCCTACCAACCTGTCCACTCCCTCCACGGGGCAGGTAGTGGCCTGCTCCAAGTCCCCCGCCCTGCCCGCTCCACCATCGGAGATCAGGCCATTCCGCACCCACCCTCTGGAATGCCATCCCGGAATCCCTTTGCCTCTCCCTCTCCCTTGTCTCCTTCTAAGGCCTGCCTCAACAGTTTCCTCTTCGGCCGTGCCTTTGGTCATCACCACCAATCTCCATCCCTTTTGACTCCAGCCCACGGCTCAACTACAAATCCTTGACTGTCCAGCGCCTTGGGACGTCCTCCCGACGTGAAAGGCTCCTATGCAAACGCAGTTTGTTGCTGTCATTTACCTGGAGAAACCCTTCCCGCAAAGGCTGCAGATGTAGGGCTTGGTGATGCCCCCTTCGTGTGACCGCACATGGTAGCTCATGCGGTCCTTCCGTTTGAAGCGCTGCTGGCAAACCGGGCACTCGAACGGCTTCTCGTCCGAATGGGAGAGTTTGTGCCGGTTCAGGTGGTAGACGTCGCGGAAGGCCTTCCCGCACAGTTCACAGCCGTGGTTCTTCTTTACCCGCCTGTTGGGGTTCTTGCTCGGGGGGCCCGACGAGGTACTGCCACCCACCCCGGAAGGGGTGGTGCCGGTCGGAGTTAGCATGCTCGCGACGGCTGACACCAGGGTGGGCGTACCGACAGAGCCGGGTGTGGAGGAGATCAACGACACCACGGTCGGTATCTTTCTTGGCCGCGACACCAACTTTATTCCAGTGTGACACGACTCGTGGCGCCTGAGGTGGTAACTGTCTCGGAACGCTTTGCTGCAATAACTGCAAATCACTGGCGTCCTGGTTTTTCCTTCTTCTCTACCACCACCGCCGGTGGCTTTGGGGTTTCTTTGGGATCGGGGGTCTTCTGAGGTGCGGGCATTGCCGTCGAGGGAGCTTGCTCCCGCTGCTCGGCTGTCGAATGCAATATTGGCAATAGGTTATTCTGGATATGCTGCTGGTGTTGCTGTTGAGAGACTTCACTGGCCTGAAAGACAAAAGTGAGAAATTAAGAGACCAACCCACAAGCCTTTTTTGGGGGCAACTTACAATCATCCTTCCTCTCCTAGAACAGTTTTTCAAATGTCAATGGGGTCTTAAAAGCACAAGTTTAACAAATTGGTTTGTAAATAATAATAACAATCCTTGCATTTGATATAGAGCCTCATCGCGTCTTCAAGACGTCTCAAGAAGCTTCACCGAACCGAATACACTGTAAAGTAAACTGACTGTATATTTTGTGGGCGAAATGCGGTAGGCAATGGCGCACAGCAGTGTCCCACAAACAGTCGTGGATTGAGTGACCAAATTATTATTTATTTTTATTTTTTATTTCTTGAGGGATATTATCAAGCATGTGGAGTAAGGAAACTTGTCCAAGGTTTCGCCCTGCCAGGAATCGAACCTAGGTCTCTTGCATGCGAGGTGAGTGCTCTAACCACTGACTTGACGGTTAAACACAAACAGGTTGTACAATTTAACAGAATTCCTCCCGACAATAACAAGGTCCTTTAATTAATATGATTCAAACCTGATCTCTCTCAAATGCAATTGCTAAGGTTTCAATGTTTGTTACAGTTTCCTCACTGTGCGCAATTGGCTGCCATGTTTTGCCCACAAAATAAAGAGTCAATTCACTTCATAGTATAATCTGTGAAGCGCTTTGAGACGTCTCAAACACATAAGAAGGCGCTATATCAAATGCAAGGATTATTATGATTGGATTCAATATAATATCTCAGTTAGGGTGGGAGTCAGAATTCTACAGCTGGCTTCACACGATTATTTTAAACAAACAAACCGAAGAACTCCCTTTCCTGTGAGGTATTCAGTGAAACCTGCTGGAAAGTGCCCATTTGAACACTGGATGAGGAGAGAATCAGATTCAGCTGTGAAGCTTCCCTCCCACAGTCTTGCATCCTGCCAGCACTCAGTGTGTCGAGGCTCAAACATGAAAAATGGTTACTTAGAACTGGAATCAGAAGCAATTATGAGGCAGCATCTTCGAAGAGGAGGCAGACATTTGAATCTCCACTCAACCAGATTAATGCTTTGAAATCAGTCAAATACCATTAGGTTCTGCTGTATTTAATTTGTCACCAGCATTAATCAGATACACAGCTTTAAAATAATTTTTGCACATCAGTTCAAAAAAAAATCAGGTGGACATCAAGTTGTAAATGAAGGCAGCTCTTGTAGGTTTGAAAAAACAACCATCGTCACAAACAGAAAACGTGAGGTTTCCATCTTTTTTTCCTAGATTCAAGCTGTTGACATGGCAAGTTATTGGTTGTGTCATTTTTAAAAAAAAATCTTATACACCTCCTTTTTACCCTTGGCAGTTTTTAAACAATCAAATTCAGATATAATTGGTCCCCTTTACATTTTCCTGCAAAAACAGTCACTAAACATTACAGTAATTACTGCGAAGCCCTGTAGGATCTTTTGACATTATAGATGCTGTGAAAATGCAAGATTTTCTTTCCTATTTCAGCCTGAATCAGGTAACAAAATAAGGAGCTTAGGATTCAGCGAACACGCCACTTTTGCACACTGTACTGCATTCTCAACAGGCTCCTTTCACATTACTTAGTGTGGTCGATTCAGAAAATCTACTGATAATGTAACAAACAATTTGAACATTCATTTTTCAACCGTAAAGGTAAATAGCTACTCCACGCATTAAAAACTGATCAATTATATTTACTTGTCTTGGCCAATTTTATTCCTGCTCCTGGAGGCATCGACTCATGCTGGGACCCAATTCCACAGGCAGCAGTTGCCCTCTGGTGCCTCGTTGCAACAAGCATTCTTCACATATGAGCCCCAGACAATGAGAGGCAGCAGGCTTTGCAACCACAGGGGGGGGGTTACAAAGCAGTCTCAATGCTGCGCTCATTCAGCATCCACTTTACAGCAAGAAAAATCAAGAGGGGGAGAACCTAAGTTCACTTTTCATCTGCCTAGCCCAGTGACATTGAAAGCAAACATATTAGGTGCCAGTTTGACTGGAGTTAGCAGCACTTTTGAGTCAGAATAACAAACAAAATTTAATTTACAGAGCACCTTTCATGTCAGGAAGATGTCCCAAGGTACTGGATAGTCAAGCGTTTGCACCAGAGCTTGGGAGTTGAAGGGCGATTGGAGTGGGAGGAGACCAATGGCACAGTCAAAGAGGAAGGTGTTGAGATGGCATTGAAGGAGGCAAGGAAGGAGGTGAGGCGAAGGGAGTCCGGGATGGTGCAGAAAGGCTGAAAGCTCAACTGCCGATGATGAGACAGGCACGACAGGGTACATGGACCTAACCAGTGCCCGCCAAGCAGAGGGAGTGGGTAGATTGGTAAAGGTTGTAGTAGGTCGCTGAGTTAGGGAAAGCCGAGATCGTTGAAGACTTTAAAAGTGAGGACGAGGATCTTAAACTCGATCCTCTGGGGGTTGGGGAGCCAGTGAAGCTGGGCCAGCCGGTTAAGCCAGCTTGTGGAGGGAAGAGTTAGGAAGTCCGGCGAGCCTGGTTGTAATGAAAGAACGGATGAGAATCTTGGTGGTCTGAGGAGAGGGGTAGCGGAGGCAGAAAATGTTGCAGAGGTGGGGAAGGTACAATGGATCATGGCACGGATGAGCCATGTTTTGAGACTTTAGCTCATAATCCAGGCCTGACATCCCAGTGAAACTTTAGGGAAGTTCAGGGTCACTGAAGAACCACTCACCAAAACACAAGGTCTAATTTGCTTGTTCAGATGGATGTTAAAAATCCTATGACACTATTTGAAAAGAGAAGAGAGGTTCTTCTGGTTGTCTAGACCAAGCGCTCTGAGATGCTACTTTCATAAAGGGCACTATGGAATTGCAAGTTGTCGTTGTAGGCCAACAAATAAATCGTTCATCCACTTTACGGTTATTTGTGGGATCTTGCTGTGTACAAAATGGCTGTTGCTTTTACCTACAAAAATAGTCACTACACTTAACTGCAATTACCTCGCGAGAGTTCCTGACTTGATAAGACAGTACATAAAATACAAGGATTTATCTTCTGCACCACTGCTCTGGTTAGGGTAAACTAGCTCAGCAATCCTCATACCTTCCAATACCTGTGAGGCTCAGCGCAGTACTCCACTCAGCTACTGAGCTTTGAGGAGCTTGAATTGGATTATTTGGAGGTGAATGCTACATATTCATCAACACTCTTAAGATATGAACAAACATCCTGCTGACTCAGTACATTACTGGAATTTCTCTTGATCTACAAATACAAAATCGGTCACTCGTTGTAATAGAATTTTATTTTTAAAAGATTCTTAGTAAGAAATCACTTTGTAGATTGTTATTTCAGAGGTGGAGGGGTGGGTGGACACAGCACGTGAGCTGCATCATTAACGTTTTCCAATCATTGAAAATCTTGTGCCCCAAAAGTGGGAGGGTATTGCTGTCAAAGAAAGCAGCTTTGCGCATTCAACAATTTGCTGCACGAAGGTTTCTATAAAACTAAACTTGCGGATTCAGCTGCCACACTTTTTTCACTGAAAATATTCAAAACGCGTTGGAACTAACTTTTTTGCCCTTTTTTTCAAAAAAAAATTAACAAAGCACGCCGATTAGCCGCGATATATTTCCTGGCATGTTGGGCGCCAGGAAATGCAGCACCAACTTAATAGACAACTCTTGGATTTTTTCCCAAGTGTAACTCAGCGCACAACATTGAAATCGAAAATTCCTCCTCCATCCTCCCCAAACAGAACCCGGGGGTAGGGGGTGGCGCGCGCGTGCGTGCGTGTGTGTGTGTGTGTGGGGGGGGGGGGGGGGAAGAGAGAAAGGAGGAGGAAGAAACTTTAAAAAAAAAAGGGGGAGTTAGTAAGGAGCCAAACACAGCGAGAGCAAAGCAGTGAACACAAGAGAGGTACGTGCCACCTGGGCCGAAATAAGTCTGCCCCGAAGTACACGCACCAACTCGGGAACTCCCGCACACATTGCGAGACCTACTTTGCAAATAAGTCGTTGGGTTTCTAAACGCTGTTAAAAAAAAATTTCCTTTTTTTTGTGTGTGTGTGTGTGTGGGGGGGGGGGGTGGGGGGGGGAGAAGAGGAAGGGGTTGCGAGGAGAAGCTATATATATATATATATATATATCGACATCTGCATATATATTTATTTATATATTTATATATTTATTTATTTATTTTTAAAAACACACACACACAAAAAAAAGCAAGAAACGGTTTTTAACCTCTCTCCCCCCCCCCCCCCCCCCACCCCCTCCCCACGAAAAAAAAACTTGATGCACTACCGGGTTAGAAAAGCAGCTGGATGCCTGAGCAGATCATCGTGCTTGGCTGGGCTTGTCTTGAGCTAAGCCTGAGAGAGAGAGAGAGAGAGAGAGGAAGGAGGGAGGGAGGGAAGGAGAGAGAGAGAGAGAGAGAGAGAAAACTTCCCGACGATTCCCTCCTTCTAAAAAAAGGCGCCCTCGCCCCGCCAGCTCGGGCCCGGCTTCCCTCGGCCCCACCCCCGCCCGCCCCCCGCCCGAGCCCCGAGGCCTCACCTGAAAGATGAAGGCGCCCCAGGCCGATTCCATTTCAGCTCCGGACCGCAGCGCAGGGGGACGACGCCACAACAAAGCTGCTCCGAACACAGCACAGGGGCAAACATGGCCGCCGCCGCCACTTCCTGTCACCTCTGACCCCCCGCCCCGGCCTGACTCAACCAAGTGAAGGTGGTGGGGGGAGGGGGAGGGGAGACACACACACACACACACAGAGAAGGGGGGGGGGGGCTGAGTGGGCTTGGGGAGGGTCTTCACCACCAGCAGCAGCAGCAGCAGGAGCTCACGAGCATCTTATTTTTTTTAATAACAACAATCCTTACGTCTCCAGAGCGCTCCCCCCACCGAAGACGCCGCGGAGCGAAACCTGACCGGGCGTCCGCGGGGAGAGCCCCCGCAAAGGGCCGTGGATTGAAAAACGACCGATCTTGTTATTGTTTTGGGGTTCTTTTTTGGGGGGGGTGGTGGTGGTGGGAGGGGGGGGGGGAGGGATTATCATCATCCATCGTCGTCGTCGGGCTCTCGTGTGGAGGGAAGGAAACCTGCCCCCGAGGTTTGGCCTCTGACCTGCCTGGAATTGAACTCGGGTCTCTCGCTTGCAGAGCGAGTGCTCTAACCACTGAGCTACAGGACTCCACACACATATATATTTTATCTATTAAAAAGGGGAATCCCCGTAGCTCAGTGGTTAAAGAGCACTCACCTCGCCGAGCGAGCGAGAGGGAGGGAGGGAGGCCCCCCGGGTTCGATTCCCCGGGGGCGTTAAGACCGTGGCCGAGTTTCCTCACTTCCGCGCGGGCGCCTGATGATCATCGTCGATAACCCCTCAAGAAAGGGGAAAGGAAAACCCATCGTAATTTGCGGCCACTTCGATCCGCCGCCGTTGGCGGGAGACGCTGCCGGGCGCCGTTGGCGGCCGCATTTCGCCCACTGAGCATACAGTCACTACACTTTACAGTATATTCTGTGCAGCGCTTTGAGACATCAAGACGACGTGATAAGGCACTATATCAAACGCAAGGATTATTATTTTATTCTCTGCTCCCCCCCACCACCGCACGCATACTCTCTTTCTAAAACCGCAGAAGTTCATTGCAAAATGCTTTTAGCGCTTGGGTCAAAAAAAAAAGCAATTTTTGTTTTGCAGAGTAAGATGCAAACTGCTCCCATAAATTCAAATGATCACCACAGCCTGTTGTTGCAAGCAGTTAATTCTTAGGATTTTCATCCCTTTTTTTTTAAAAAAAAACTGCCCTAACATCCTACAAAAATAATGCAAGACTTTCATTTTTTAATCCTATTTTGCGAAGCTACCGCTCTGGTCAAGGAGCCTTGGGAATACCCTCTTCAAAGCCAAGAATATGATTCCAGGGAGGCCGACTTGAATCCAGTCCAAGTTGGGACACCTTTTATTGATATTAATAAATGGAACTGGAGTTTGCAGTGGTTAATCTCTGAGCAAGCAATGCCCTACAAAGTTCAAATGCAGTGAATGGCAAATTAATGTGTGTATGTGGTATGTGTATGGGGGGGGGGGGCAGAGAATTTGGATGAGAGAAGGTTAAGACAGGGCAGCTGGAGAAGTCCCAACTATTCTTTAAAATGGTAATCTTTAATGTGCACCTGAACATGGGAGATCGAACCTTGGTATCACTGGCAAACTCTGCAGTTTCAGTTGGTTAGACTCCAGCAGTTCTCCAAAGAACGCTCTGGGATTCCCAGGCCTGGGGTCTTGCCAATATGCCCATAATACTTTCTGGAGTTAGGGAAACGGGATGCGTCCCTCCAGGAGAGTACCCATTCCATTCCAACAATCTCACTCTGGAAATTCCACATGTAGGTGGGTGGCATGGAATTCTCAGCTTGTTTTGGATATTCTTAATGATGGGTCAAACACCCAGCTGACCAAAAAAAAAAGACCTACTCTCAAGTTTAATATTGTAGAGAAAGAGTAGCAACTCGGAACAACGCAACACTCCCCCAATCCTGCAAGGGACGACCTAGTTTTGAGTTGGGAATCGTAAACCTGAAAATGGCGCAATAAAGAAATCCAGTTATTTAAAAAGATCAGGCCACGTAAGTGGAATAATCATCGTGCACTAAGTGCAAATCTTGTTCTTGGTATTTCAGATTCCACGATGGATTCAAGTGGGCTCTGAACATTTAGTCCGCCCCATACAATAAACATGTCATCAGTGAAAGACCATATGCATATAGTGCAACAAATGTTTGCTCTCATTTGGAAAAGCAATTCTCTCCGACAGACCAATGGAGCGCATATGTTGGGAAAGCAGAGAACCAGAGCGAGAGGAGCAATGCATTTGACATTCCTGTAACCTCTGGGGTTTTGCCTCAAAGCCTAGCAGGTCAGACTGAAGCGAGTAAATATCTTCTCACTGCATCTTTAACTCACCATTTCTTCAGGAAGACCACAAATCATATTGCAGACACATGTTCTTTTTGTTCCTATGCTAAGGCAAACGCATATTGTTGAGATTAAGTCATTAACTCGGAGGGATTTATGCCTTACCTTAGTTATGGTGGTGTGGTAATACTTTTAAGTAATGAAAGAATAAAGCACTCATCTAGTTAAGTTTATTTTGTTCTGTACTTTTGTGAATTTCTGCTGTGCTAATCCACTTGGAATGTTATATTAAAAGTGTCTACGTACAAAATCAGTATTTTGCCAAACTGCTGACAAAACCAATGCATTAAAATGTTTTTATGCTGCAATAACCAACCTCAGCTGTACGCTGCAACAGGTATTAAAACTAGTTTGGAAAGGAAAAATTTACCAAAATTCCTACTCTAGGCTCCAAGGCATAATGGGCACAGGTTCAGGATTGCAAAGAGTAATTAGCAACTAAAATTGGTTGGGAGTGATTTCTGGACACATTAAAAAAANCTTGCTGTACTGGGAAGATGAGATCAAATGAACCAGCCTTCTTCATCCTAATTGCTCATAGGGGAAAGTTTGCATGTTATGCGATCAGCACTACACTACGCTTGCAGGGGGTGAGCAAGCCACTTGCTTCAAACATGGTCAGAAATTCAGTCAATAATTATATACAAATCTTTTTTTTCCCATCAATGGACTTTTGTCCATTTCATACTACTTTAATGAACCAATGCGACTTGCTTATATTTATACATATTAAATTCCTCAGCTATTCACCAGTTCATCCAGAGATATACGTCTGTCCTCATCCACTCAGAGCTTGCCAACACTTCTGTGTGAGAGTAAAAACAAATTGCCACTGGATTAAGGTAGAAGGGTTGCGGTGCCTGAGGAACCAGAGGAGCTGCAGTGCCTGGAGAACCACACTCGAACACTGGCCACCATCTTATGGAGAGGAGAAATGGGAGATTTGAAAACACAAGAAGATACTCCCCAGAAGGTAAAGATAACTGTAGCACTAAGGCAATACAGACGAGAAGATTGTAGGATCAATTTTCCACCTGTGCAAAGTGATCTGATCTTTGTCAGGGCACAAATGTTGGTCTGAAGAGCAAAGAAAATAAATAAACCCTTGCTGGAAAAGTGCAGGTATTGACAAGATTGGGATAGATTGTAATAGTCCACTGACACTCATTGTCTGGGTTCATTACAATAGGAAAGGCCATTTGGATAAAGGCGGAAGAGGCTTTCAGAATCAAAAAAACTATTTCTCTCCTACAAATTAAAAAAAAATCTTGAAACTTTTAAGTGTAAATTAAACAGAAAATGCAAGTCAAATACAGGGTTAGATTATACCTAACTTCAGGGCCTACGCTCCTCTTAAAATCTTAAATTACAGCCATTTAATTCACTACCAGGTGTCCATTATTCTAAATATATGGACTTCGCTATTTCCTGGTAATCAGCTGTTGATTTTCACTCAAACTTGCAGTGATTACGTCACATTTGTTAATCCGTCAATGTGGATGGCATCACGCATCAACTGCATGGAGTGTACTGGGCCACCGCATCCCACATGATACCTGCAAAAAACAAAAAAGCCCAGAACAGAATAAAACCAGTGTATATCAGAAAAAAGGACAATTATGGCTATATTTTCACTGGTGGACTCAGATCTGTCAAACTCTTCAGTAAAAATACCCACTCCCAACTTTTAATATTCTATGTAATTCCATCAGGCCAAGAACTTAGCATTTAATTGTAGTCTACAGCCTTTTACTAGATATATAGAATTCCTACTGAAGAAGGAAGAAACTTCCTATAATTATTATATATTCAATGGACAAATTATCAAAGAAATGAAGTATGGAACTACAAAAATGTCATAAGTATATTTGAAACTGGCTTTACACAAGTATCTGAAAAACTTTCACCCAAAATTATACTTTGCAAGCTGTTATAAATTTAGAAGTACTAAATCACCTATAAATGTCTCACTAGTCAATGTGTATTTTCTCAATATTTTTGTCCAAAAATTAATTGCTTTTAAAGTGTTCGCCACTTTACTCCAGTCATTTTACAATAAATGTCTTATGTGCTATGAAATAACTTAAGTTTGTTTTATTTTATAAATTTTGAATCAATTAAAATATTAGATGGGTACCAAAATTTACAAAGCTTAATAATGTACAACTAGATCAGGAATGGTACATAGCACTCGGAATGCAAAGAAAGAAATGCCAAAAGCATAGCATTCTTTTGAAATTATGTATACAAATGTGAGTAGCCATTTAACACTACAGATTATTCTGCTCACTTACCAAAAGCTGCAGAATACTATAACGCTACAAAGTAAAATTAGATGCCACCATTAAATATACGCTTTTGTTGTTCAAGCAATATAAGTGGATAAGACTTGAGGAAAATTAAAATGAAAACAGTTTGTGAGGCATGAGGAATGTGTGGGGTCAACCTTGGGGGACAGAAAACATCGTACTCCAATGAACTTTGAGAACAGTAAAGACTTTGTTGATCCTTTATTAAATTTCACAACATTTTTCTGCTCACCAAGTTTACTCATCTTACACTCTTGTCAGCTGGTTTACTGCATCTTCTGGTCACTTTCAAATCATCTGCAATGTTACAGGACAGGTGTAATAAACGTTGCAAGAAAATCAGAAATGTCTGAACTGCTGAACGTACAAACCATACCAAATGATCTTGCTTAAACCACTAGATGTCTCTACAGTACCTTTCAAATGCATAAGTGCTGCCATTAGTTGTCACATCAGCACTGCACAGTTTTCCTTCCTTTTAATACAGAACTATTTTCCAGAGTGAAAAAGTTGAAAATCTGAAACCTCTCAATCCTGGCTTTAGTTTTAGAAATCAACATTGCTCCAGCAATTGATCTGTTTGTGAAAACAAACAATGAGAAAGTAGGAATACGTTCTACCACACTATAGTAAACAGTGGGAAACAGTATTTAACAAAAAAAATAAACTTCAGTCAATTAAGTTGTGAAAGTAATTAAACAAATCATGTCACAGCTAATGTGTATTTTTTTTTGGTTAGCCGTTTCATTCCAACTGTGTACCAGCAGACTTAAATCCAGTACCACACTTTCACATATAGGGGATCAATTATCAAATAACCAAAAAGTAGGATATATGCGATAGTACAACTAAGTGAAGGGGAATATATAAAATCCAAGTCATTAACAAGGAATTCTACTGTGAACAGTATTATGATTACTTAAGATTGACTAGTTACACAAAATGCAAGGTAAAAACTACTGTTCACAAAATAATCACAAACTCCAAGTATGCATGTAAAAAAAGAATTTATTGTCAAAACGGAGGTTAAACATTAAAACTATGAGCAGGAAGTTATCTTTTTGGCCCCAAATTAGCCAATTTTATCTATTCCCTTAATCATTAATTTTGGTAAGCAAAGCCAATTGTTTATCATTTTTTTTAAAAAGCAAAATACCCCATTAATTAATAATTGCTTACAAAAAAATAAGGTAGCACCCTTCTTAAATTGTTACCAAATCCTGAATGCCGAATCCGTCCAAGGAGATTGATTGCTTCTGCGTACCTCTCCCGGTTCCTGGTTTTCACTTCGTTTAAAAAAAAAGCAAAAAAAAAAGCCCAATCCCATGGGGGCCATCCATTGGACTCCAACTGACAAAAATAAAATAAAAAAGGAAGACTTTTTTTGAAATAGCCAATTAGGGTCTTTTGGGGAGGGGGGGTGGGGGGAAAAAAGAGGGAAAAAAAATCCAAATGTGCGGTTTGATTGGGGCAGGAATCCACTCCTACAGCTCCTGGTAATTTGATCCCGCTCCATGAATCCATGTTATGATCCTCCCTATCCTATCCTCACAATGAATTGAATCCAAAGATCCAGCTCCAAGGATTGGGATCCAATGAGCCCTCTCCAATCCAAACCTTTAATAACCAGCAAAACCAAAAAAGGAGGCAAACGTTAGATACTACGAACAATAAAGTATATATGGGATGTGACAGTTACAGCTGTCATCGTGGCCAATATTTACACAACTTTTGGCAGATGAACAGCATAAACTGTATTCACACCCCCACAGTCAATGTGAACGGTGTTACACGGTTCAACAAGAATTTTCACAACACTATTAAAACGCTGCCTTACTATTGTAGTTAAATTATTCACTAACCCAACATCATAGCAGACCAGTTATGGTAACACCTGATAAGAGATAATACAATCATACTTGGCTACATTAATGCAAGTCCTAAATATTGCTCCAATGTCATATGCAAGAGATTTTATTTAAAAGCTACCAGATGTTGGACTAGTGAATATTGAATCAAGCCCTGATAGCATTACTACACACTCACTTCAGTTAACAAAATTTACGGGTGCAGTATTTACTTTTGTTGACACCTTCATTTTAGTTACCATATGAAATCTAGTAACTGAGTTCTACTGTTTATGTAATCACCACTTAACTGCATTACAAACTAGATTGATAAATGTTTGATCAAGGTAACCAAACTCTGCTGAAAGACAGCAATTTTACTTTTAAGTTTTCTTTAAAAAAGCTTTACCAATAGGACTTCTGTTCAAAATGGTGAAAACCAATGCCAGACTAGTCACACAGAACATGCAAGCTCAGCAGTATTGATGCCACACTGAACATTGTAACAGGGCACAGTAACACCATAGTTTGTGTTTATACAACCACTTGTACAAAAGAGCACAGCTTCAATACTGCCAAGTTCAATTGTGACAATAGCACTTGGAGTCATACCATTGCCTCCATAAATGATCAGATTCCTCCTCCTCCTCCTCCAATTAGACACGGTTTGACATTCCTAATATGACTGAAATGAGCTCCACAATCCTTTAATCCAAAGAATGCTTAATCCATCCTCAGTTGAGATATGTCTATAGGAAGATACATGAAAAGGTAAGATAAGGTACAACACAAGGTTTTCACAAACAAGTTTCACAACAGTCCTATCTACATAGCCTCCTACGAATCTTACATTAGGACTTATTCAAATGAACTATAAACATTAACACATTACTGCAAGTTTACTGTTAATCAGTCTGTGTTGACACCATTCCTGAAAACTTCCGGTCAAACTCCAAACCTACTCTCTCTATACAATTAAAAATTAGACCTTAGCAACGATAGAGGAGGGAATGTTAACAATGAAGAGAAGAAACCCTCTTTGTATGGATATCAGACAATTTAAATTCTGTAGTAAACTTGAATAAAACTAATTAACGTGTATTTTTTTAAAAAAAGAATCAATTCTATAAGGAAAGAGTGGTGTAGTACTACAAGGAATTCCAGCATTGGCTTAAGATCTAACTACGCGAGCGTGATCTGCTTTGACGGGGCGAGTAGCGGGGAGATCCTCTGCTTCGTCTGGGAGAGTAACTACGGCTTCTGCTGCGACTTCGGCTACGGCTTCTGCTTCGACTGCGGCTACGTGAACGTGATCTTCCATAGCTCGGACTTCTTGGACCGTCAACTTTCACACGGATATATGCTGTTTCTCCCTATTAAATACGTGAAGAGAAATTTTCACCGCTTTAAAAAAAAAGTCACTCAGGAAACCCACTGAATAAGGCTAATTCTACATCAGTTGAACCTTCTGTGTTTAAGAATCTAGTCTATTTAGGCCCAACACTCACTCCACTCAATGCTAGATTTTCTACCAATGGTGGTTTTCCATTAAATCTTTATGTTTGGGAGTGGATTACAATCACAAATTGGATATGGTAGAAATTAACATACTGTGTTACACTGACACTAAAAGTCAAAATCCACTCTTCTCAGTACGGTCTTTTTAAGGCACACACAGAAGACGATTTGCTCAAGCCATCAGTTTCAGCCACTTTTGCCTTACCTGAAACTCCAAATGGATTGGTTATGGCTCTTAATCATCATCTGTAAGGTTAGCAAAATTAGGTGACATACCTCGTGAGATCGAAATTTTGTGTTATCCAGTTTTCGCACTGCATAATTCATATCTTCTTTGCGAACAAACTCCACGACACCAGTTCCATCACGGAAAACATCAGCGTAACATACATCACCTGCTTCCCGCATGTGATCTTTCAAATCCTGCCAACTACCACTTGGAGGAAGCCCTGAAAAAAACAATAATAATCTTATATAATAATCATTGCATTTGATATAGCGCCTTGTCACATCTTCGAGACGTCTCAAAGTGCTTCACAGAATATACTGTAAGGTGAATTGACCGTAGTTTGTAAGCGAAATACATGGATGAAGTCCTGAAAAACAACCACTCTACATTGAAGGTACCCTGAGAAAGCACCACATAAACTTTTTATTAAAAAAAACTACCCTGACATTTCACCTTACCAGAAACTATCACCCTGTATTCTGAGCGCCTGGAGGGGGGTCCATATCTTGCCCTTGGTCCTCCACCGGGACCCCCTCTTCCAGTTCCTCGACCACTCCGTGGAAATTCTACACGCAGCCGATAGCCATCATAATCGTAACCATCTCGACCGTACACAGCATCTTCTGCATCCCTGAAAATACAACAAACATAATCGTTTGATTCATACATTCGTATAAAACACACAAAAAAAAGCTCCACATTGATAAGTTTACAAAGCTCAATTAATAAACGTGGTCAATTCATAAAAAAATAAATATTTTGGTCCCCACGTGTTCCTCAAAACTCCAGGTGTGCCAAAACCAGGAATTAGAGAAATTACAGCCTTGTATTGAAATTGAGTTATTTACTCATCTATAAAGTTATTTAATGATGAAATTTCTATGTAGAGCAAACGTATATGGGCATATCCAGGATTATTTCCTTGTCTTGTTCATATGTTTGTAGCAACATAAGCGCGCCAACAAAGGCTTGCGTGGCGTCGTTTCCTTTTGCAGCAAAATGGCGATTAACCAGAGACCATGTGCAACTGAAAACGTTTCTAAAAAGAAAAGACACCTGACTGGAAAAGCCTACAGATTAACAAACGCGCGGGAGGATGGTCTGTACAAATCTACGTATATATATATATAAAAAAAACACACACACGCACGCACACGCAAACACGTTGAATCTTAAAGTGCGCCTTTTTTTATATATATATAAAAAATAAACTTCAAACGCAGCCTTGAACTTCCATCAATAGTCCCTTTCAAAACCAGACGCTTTTGGCGGATAAATAATTTACAGGTAATGGAGGGGAAGGGAGACCAACTCTCTCTCTCTCTGTGTGTGTGTGTATAAGAGGAGAAACAAGAATATCTTCACGCCGAGCCTTACAAGGAAGAAATTCCCACTTGTAACTGCGATTAAAAACTGGATCGGACCCTCTGCTCATTGCTCCGGGGCCGTGCTTTCTTGTTGTTTTGTTTATTTGTTTTGTCTGTTTGCTGGGGCGGGATAAGAAGAGAAGGAGAGGCAAGTGTTTTATCCGAAAAGCACCCGAGCATGTACTCTCTTTCAGCAGCATGTGCGCTGAAGGTTAACCGCTCTCCCCCCCCCCCCCCCCCACACACTTTTTTTAAAAACCTTCCTTTCCTCCCTACAACAAACTCAAAGCAGCCCACGTTAAGGCCACGTATGTCTATATTGACATACACACACACATATATATATATATGGAGAGAGACACACACACACACACCTCGCAAACTTCGCCAAACCGTGGTGGGGTGGGGGGGGGAAGGAGGAGGAGGAGGAGGTGGTGGAATTAAAATAAAGGAAAGAAATGAAGAGAGAGAAAGGGAGAGAGAAAGCGGAGATCAGGGGGTGAAGAGACTGAAGGGAGGAGAGCGGCGGTGGCGGTGGTGGGTGGGAATGGGAGAAGGTGGCAGGGCAGCAGGGGAGGGAGGGAGAGAGAGAGAGGGGGGGGGGGAGGTTTATAATCCATACCGTGGATCCTCGAACTCCACGAAGGCGAAGGGCGGGCCTCCCCGGCGGTTCTTCAGGTCGATGTCCCTGATGCTGCCGTACTTGTAGAAGACGTCCTCGATGTCTTTGGTCCTGATGTCGGGCGGCAGGTTACCCACGTAGATGCGGCAGTCGTTGTTGCCCGCCGGGCCTCGGATCACGCCGACCGACATTCGGCCTGAGAAATGGCGCTTCTCTCTCTCTCTCTCTCTCTCCCTCCCCCCCTCCCTCTCTCTTTTTTTTCTTCTTCCTCCCCCCCCCCTTCTCTCTCTCTCTCTCTCTCTTTTCTTTCTCACACACTCACTTTACAACAGCCCCACACGCGCGCACACACACACACACACACTCTCTCCCCTCCCTCCACACCCCCCAAAAAAAATCACTCCCACCTCGGCTGGTCCGCGTGTATTTTAGGCGGGAGGAGGAGTTTTTTTTCTCTCTCGCTCCCTCTCACGCGCAAAAAAATATATATTATATATATATATATATAAATATATTTTATATAAATATATATATATATACTTTGGGCAGGAGGAGGGGGGGGTTAATTTTTTTTAAAAAAAGTTAAACAAAGAATAACGATCAGCGAAATCGACGAGACCCAGCAAGACCGAGCGAGATTTAAATTAAGTATTTTCTTCTCTCTCTCTCTCTCCTCCTCTTCTCCTCTCACTCAACTCGACTCTCTCGCGAGGAGAGGGTTAAATCGCCTCCTCCTCCTCCTCCCCCCTCACACACACGAAAAAAAAACTGCCCTAAACGCAAGAGGGCGGGAAAAAAAAACCGCACGCACAAAGCCCACGCTCTTGTGTTTTTTATATATATATACACACACACACACACACTCTTTCTCTCTTATGCCCGAGCCGCGGTCGGTCGGTCCGTCCGTCTGTCCGTCCGTCCTCCGCTTTTCCCCCAAAATTGCTGCAAAATGGCGGCGGCGACGGCGCTCTCTCTCTCTCTCTCTCGTCTCCGAGCGGCGCAACGGAAAGTAGTTCCGACTCCCGCCAGTGCCGGCTCACTCTGGCGCACGCGTACAAAAAAGACCCCCCCCCCCCACCCACCGCTCGCCTTCCCGCCCCTCCCCCCGAAAAAGAGTCCTGCCCTCTCGAACGCCCCTCTGCTGGGAAACGCTTCAAGATTTCTCTTTGTGACGATTGGAGCAATTGGGTCTGGGTGGGTGGGGGTGTGCGTGGGGAGGGGGGGGGTTTAAATTTTTTTTAATTTTTTTAAAAAAAGCGGACTGACACGGGCTGCTCTGCGTGGGTGAAGGGGTCGAGGAGGAGGGTGACGCCGCAGAGGGAGATGATGATGATGATGATGTCGTCCCTCGGGTTTGTCTGTCGCACGTGGTGTGGTTTTTCTTTGCAGGAGTTTCTCTTTCGCTTTCCCCCTCTCTCGCTCTCTCTCTCACTCTCAGTCTCTCTCTCACTCACTCACTCTCTCAGTCACTCACTCTCTCACTCCCTCTCACTCTCAGTCACTCTCTCTCACTCACTCTTTCACTCCCTCTCTTTCACTCTCAGTCACTCTCTCTCACTCACTCTCTCACTCTCTCACACTCACTCACTCTCTCAGTCTCACTCTCTCAGTCACTCACTCTTTCAGTCACTCAATCACTCTCTCTCTCTGCGCCTTCGAGACGTCTCAAAGCGCTTCGCGGGAATACACCGTAAAGCGTAGTGACTGTGTATTTTGTGGGGCGAAACGCGGCAGCCGATCGTCAACAGTCGACGACGACGACGAGCGCTTAACATAACGCCCTCCGCGCAGGGTAGCGTCTCGGAGCGCTCGGAACAGCGGGGATGGTGGGCGTGGCTCGGGTTGGGGGACGGCCGTAAACACGGTCGTGGATTGAGTGACCAGATTACTATTTTTAAAAGTATTACTTTAATAATAATAATCATCATCGTCCTGGCGTTTGATGCAGAGCCTCATCACGTCTTCGAGACGTCTCAAAGCGCTTCGCGGAATACACTGTAAAGTGAATCGACTGTATATTTTGTGGGCGAAACGCGGCAGCCAATTGCGCGCAGCAGCAGCGGAACCGTATATCCATTGAAATCCCGCCTCGACGATATTCTTATTGAATATCAATAAGACGCCAACAGCAACTTGCATTTATATAAGCGGTCGTTGCACAGGAACAGCGTCTCGGAGCACTAAAGCGCTTCGAGACGTCCTCCCGGCATGATAGGGAGTGTATCAAATGTAAGGATCGTTATTAATAAGTCAAATCGCCTGTTTTTCGGGCAAAGCAACAACGGGTTAGCAATGGCAGTTTCTCCAATGGTTAAATTGCCTGTCACACGATACACGAGGAGTGGCCTCGGAGATAAAATGTGGATTTTGAGCCCCAAGTCTTGACATTGAACTCACATCATCTACGCTGAAACTCCCACCAATGCAGTGTTGGGGATGAGCTACATTATCGGAGGTGCCATCCTTCGGATGAGACGTTTGCTCAGGTGGATGTTAAAGATCCTACCACACAAGTTGGAAAGTGAAGGGAGTTTTTCTCTCCTCAGGCCAGCAGTCCCCGGGACAAAATTGGTCACTTTACGTCATGGCTGTCTTGTGAAACATTGCTCTTCGCAAATTGGTTGCTGTGTTCGCCCACAAAATACACAATCCACTTTGCAGTATATCCTGTGAAGCACTTTGTGACATCTCAATGACATAATAAAGCACGATATCAAATGCAAGGATTATTATTACTATTATTATAAGTGCACAGTAAATCCTGTGAAGCTCTGAGAGACATCATTTCGACATGAAAGGCACTAATACTAAATGCAGGGAGTACAAGAGAGATTCTGTTACAAATTTTCAAGTACCCCCAGCATGACTCAGCACCTTGAAAGACGAGAGGAAAGTTATTTATTAAAAAAGTGGTATATTTTGAAAACAATTTAAACCTAACTTGCTCATGTTCACATTTGTACTCAAGAGATCTCACACCTTGTAACAACAACTTGCATTAATATAGCACCCTTCACCCGCAGTAGAGTCCCAGAGTGTAACACATTCAATGATAACGGAGAATAGAAATAACCAGGTGTAACCAAAAGGCAAAAATTCATCCTGATGATAGGTTTTAGATAATGTCACAAACTACAAAAGGAAAATTTGATAAACTCGTTAGCTGTTATCTCAATCCCCAATGTGAGATAAAAAACATTGTGACAGCTTAACAACATATCCAATTTTCATTTTTACAAAAACATTGCAAACCATAGATGAGTCAGTCTTTACCTCTTTTGAGTCTTAATTGTTGATAGCACATATCCTAAGGAATAATCTGCACCTGATTCCTGGGAATCAGCATAAACAGTGTACATCTTTGCACATAGTAATTCAGTAGAGATGCAAGTAATTTAATCAAGGGGCTGTTATAAAAAGGATTTGCTTTGCAACTTTCCTTTTTCTTTGTAACCGATACAAGCAGTGTCAAACTTTATTTGTACTAGAGTATGTCCCAGAGCATATTGTACCAAACACAGCATGCTCCATGTGTCATAGTCCAGTACTCTTCCAGTGTACCAAAATTGACATTTGTTTCAATCCCTAAAATTTCAAATGAGCACTAGAATGGAGCCATTCCCCTTCCCTCCCAAGTCACTGACAAATATTATTTATTGCTAAAATAACACAAAGGCCATTGTAACACTTGTCCCGGAGGCGTGTTAAGCTTTAAAGAGCGCTTATAATATATTATCCTCAAAAGAGACCACAGCAACCTAAGCCATCTACCATATGCCAATTGTGTTGTCAAGACTCGCCTTTCTCATTACATGTTCCTCGGTAAGAACGTGGCGGAGAGACTGAGCTACAAAAAATGTTTAACAACAACAAGATTACATTTGTACAGCGCCTTTCACGTAGGGAGGACATCCCAAGGGTTTAAGACAGAAAGGGATACAAAACCACTGGTAACAGACAACATCGCACAATGAGAGCATCAATAGGAAACGGAAGCTGCCTGAGGGCATCCCCTTGGCTGGCATCAGCCAGAGACTGAGGGATGGAGGACTGCAAGACTCCAGTCAGTGGGTCTTAAAGGGGCACAGTGTTCATCGAGCATTTGGCAGATGTGCCTTTTTTTTTTGTTCGCCAAACACTTAAAAGCAGTGAAGCATTGAAATGGGGTCCATTGCGTTGCTCGCGCATCATTGACGTGCTGTCATTCAACTCACGTAAGTCTGTTTGTTCCTGGTGCTCTCCTTCCCCACAGCAAAGAAAGTGCCGCTTTAAAATCAGATTTATTTTTAACATGCTATTTTCATTCGGAAAAATTCATAAAAGATGTCTTCGATAAGTATTTAATATTCACCATATGTATGCAGATCATTTATTCTTTTTTCTTGTGATGGGATAATAGGCAGGGATTCATATGAAATGTTCTATATTAAGATAAGTATCTATTCTTCATCCACTTAATCCTTTTCCATTTATACTTGGTCACTCACTCCATGGTTGTTTGTGGGACTTTGCTGGGCGAACTGGCTGCCATGTTTCTTCCACTAAAAACACAATCGATCCACTTTACAGTGTGTCCTATGATGCACTTTGAGACATCTTAAACAACGTAATAAGGGGCTGTATCAAATGCAAGGATTATTATGATTATTTTTATTAATCTTGTGTTGCACTGCTTGACAAATATTCAGTCCTTACAAAACAACAATAATAATAATAATACTTGTATTCGATATAGGGCCTTATCACATTGTCAAAACATCTCAAGGTACTTCACAGGACTTAACTTTATTGTACTATGGTGAACATAGTGTTGCTTGTGCAACACCATGTATTTGAAGGCAAACACTGCACAGATATCACAGGAGCAACATTTTCTCATTTGTTTTCATGTGAGCCACAAAATATAAATAGTCGCTCATACCATTTTACAGAATATCCTGTGAAGCACTTTGAGATATTTTATCGACCTGATAAGGCGCTGTTATCAAATGCAACTATTATTATCACTATTATTTAATTTAGGAAGAATGTTATTCCTTAAGGTGCTAAGTTTCAATAGTTTCTGATTTGTGTATTAAATACAATAGACCTAAAAATTCATAGTCACTACACTCTACTGTAAATCCTGTGAAGTGCTTTGAGATGTCTCGAAGATGTGATAAGTCACCTTATTAAATGCAAGTACTTTTATTATTGCTATTATTATAATGGTCATGCGTCTTAAGCAGCATGTATATGCCTCTACTGTCCCTTGGAATCTATAAAGCATTATATTCTCTGATTTCTCTATATATGTGGATTTTTATTATAAATATACCTTCATTCCAATCCGTGATTGAAAATATTCATCATGGATTTCACTAACGGTATCACATTAGTGGCAAAGATAATATGGAAGAATCTCTGGGGGGGGGATATTGGCAATAAAATGAAACAGCCTCTCTCTCGTGTTATGTCCTGTTTCTGTGATGTTCACAGTATGATTGTTACTCTTACTTTATTACTAGGTTTTGTACCAAACCTGAATTTCTCAAAAAGATATTGTACTGAACCTGAATTCCGTAAACCAATATTTAATTGTGTAAAAAGCACATTGATTGCCACCATTACTTCTGCCAGTGAAATATTCTCGAGTCACAGTGCAGATTCTTACCCTATTGCCCAAACAGCAATACATCTCTGGACATGGCTGTGAAAGGTGCGAGGCAAGTGTAATTTCTTGTTGTTTTATTCACTGAAGCATAATTAAATCAATGTTAACGTAAAGGAACAAATCTTCCAATGGAACACATCCAACTCTGCTGCACATACACTACATAGTTGCAGACTTCCAAGTGTATCAGTCAGTGCATTTTTTTCCAGTTTCTTTTTTTCTCTGCTTTTGACAAAGTGTAGTGAAAGTGGCACTTTAGGAGTTTTGAGATTGTTACTCGCCAGAGATACATTGTTATTCCAGGCACTGCATTGAAATCCATCAATTCAAATTCATGTTTCCCCATTCGACTGAGTAAATTGCGTGTCCCACTGTTTGTCTGGCCCCTGTTCACAGATAAGGGGTTTGCGGAAGTCGTGTAACCATTTAATAATAATGATTGGATTCAATGTTGGAAGTCGTGCCAAGGGATCTTTAATGTCCACCTGACCGGGCAGATGGGACCTTGGTTTAATATCCCGTCTGAAGGATGAAGGGGAAACTCATCACTCTGCTGAAGAGCATCCAAACCAAAACGTTCGACGAGCGTTTCGCTGAAACGCTGCACTCCGTCCAGCGCCTTGGGACGTCCTCCCGACGTGAAAGGCGCGACGCGAATGCAATCTTGTCGTCGTCGTCGTTGCTGCCGTTGCTCGTGGTGGGTGGGTGGGTGGGTGGGTGTGGGGGGGGACATGGCCGTGCACAAATTAGCCGCTGCGTTCGTCTTTGGACGGTCCGCGCGCACAAATAAATCAATTCCGGGGGCGAAGTCGGGGAGTTGCTGCCTGAAGATGTTGGGGTTGGCGGTGATGGTGATGGTGGGATGGTGTGGGGGTGGTGGGGTGGGGGGGGGTAGGGTGGGGGGGTTGTGGAAGTTTACTTTGACCGGTCTCCTTGCATTGTGGGTTGAAACAAGATGCAGACACACAGCAGCCAGGGGAAAATGCACACACAGGCAGAGCAGCCCGGCCTCAGCCAATGGAAGAGACACTTAGCTCAGCCATTGCGGAGGGGATGGGGTTGCATTTGAGGGAGGGATAAGAGGGGAGGACTGCCCCCCCCCCTCCCCACACACACACACAGAGAGAGAGAGACACAGAGCAGATCGCATCAGGGAAGCCACACAGAGAGGGAGGAGAGACTGTGCTCTTGGTACTGGGAAGGTGAGATCATTTCCTTTGAATGCATGCTTTTTTTTTTACCTTTCCCCCCCCCCTCCTCTCCTCTCCTCTCTCCATCTCTTTCCTCTCCCCCCCCCCTCCCCACCCCCCCAACCCCTTTTTCTAGCTTCATTGCATAACCTATTATATTTTAGGAAGGAAGCCCCCCCTTTGCATTTGATGTGTGTTCCCTTTCTGAATGACCTAAAGTGTGTGTGTGTGTGTGGTTGGGGGTTGGGGGGGGGGGTTATTTTTTTTACCCCCCCCCCCCCAGGCTGGTGTTTTCAAGGTGTCATTGGTTTAAAAAAAAACGCACGTAATTGGACAGACTGCAGTTATGCGGTTTGGTCTCTCCACACAATTGCATAATATTTTTTTTTTTGGGGGGGGTTTGAAATTGCTCCTTATTTAATTTATTTAATTTATTTATTTATTTATTTTGTTTTTTTGGGGGTTTGTTTATTTGAATTTGATCTGTTTTATGACAACAAAACTAGCAACAATCCCCCCCCCCCCCCCCCCCACTTTTGTTTTTTTTTGTTTAAGTGCTTCGTTTTATTGCACTCTCCACCCAGCAATCTTGCAAAAAGGTGGATTGCAACCACCTTTTTTTTGGTGGTGGTGATGGGGGGGGGGGGAGAGGGGGAGAGAGAGAGAGAGAGGGGGGGTGGGTGGGGGGGGGGGGGTTGGGAGGAGATAATTCTTGTAAATTGCACCAGATTATATTTATTGGCTGACAAATTGTTGGCTTCTCTTTTATTTTTCCAGGTGGATGGTCAGGGAGAGGAGGAGGGGGTGGGGTGGTGGTGGGTGGGTGGGTGGGGGTGGGGGTGGAGAACGTGTTTTGTTTTAAAAAGCCATTTCTTGGTCCAGGATTTCTGAGATTCTCTCTCTTTTTTCCCCTCCTCTCTCTCTCTCTTCCCTTCCCTTCCCCCACCCACCCACTCCCTCCCCCTCCCCCCCAAAAAAAAAATCCACTGCAGAAATGGAGGGCTCCACCTTCAAATCCACTGGACAGAATCTCTGAAAGAATCCTATCAGTTTGATCCAACCTTTCAGATAACACTGGAGAGGTTCAGGAGAGCATCACTCCTGAAGGATCCAGATAAAATTCAAAGGAATCCAAATATCCCTTCTAAATATTGCCCTTTTGCCCATTTCCAAATTTATATTGTTTTATTAGTTGTATTGATGTCTCTCTCTCTCTCTCTCTCTCTCACCCCCTGCCCCCCACCTCCTTTATCTCCCCATCCTGTCCTGGTTAAGACTGCAACACAATGACTGACCTGTATTTGAAGTCACAACAGACTAGAATTCTTCTGCTCTGAACCTGGGGTGGGGTGGGGGGGGCAATAGAGGTGTCCTGTAACTGATTGCTCCCCACCTCATTGTCAATCCCTTTTATCCTTCTTGCAAAGAGAGATTCAATTTCTAGTCAGTTTTATTATTGATTGGTCTTTTCAGTGGGGAATGGGGGTGGTGGGGGAGTGCTGTATTTATTATATGTTAGTTGAACGTTTGTATTCCAAGTAAAGTGGGGAAAAGTTTTCTTTTAAATAACTTCCAGCTGGATTGCAGGACTATGATCAAGATTGTTCTTGAGTGGGATTGTGGAACTCGATCAAATAACTGGCCATTTAACCCGGTGCCCTACAAACGGTGCCTTATGCACCGCACGAGTGTGTGTGTGTGTGTAACATGTATGTCCAATCTGTGATGTAGTCTCATTGGGTTGTGTTAGTCATGGTCTTATATTCTCTCTCTCTCTGTCCTTCGACAGGCTCAGCAAACACCAGCACTGACCATGTCTGACAGGAAGGCCGTAATCAAAAATGCTGACATGTCTGAAGACATGCAGCAAGATGCAGTAGACTGTGCAACTCAAGCAATGGAGAAGTACAACATTGAAAAGGATATTGCTGCCTTTATCAAAAAGGTAAACTGCAGCCTGCTTAATCTTTACATTTTTAAACAGGAGGCCATCTTCCGATAGCTATCTGTACACTTCTCTTTTGATGCTGCAGTTGTGCACAAGAACATGTCTTTTTCATATATATAGTATATTAGAAAATATTATATAATGACAATCTTCCTGACCTCCAGGTATGACACGAAACGTGCCCTTTGCCTATAGCAATAAACCCGATGCAGTTTTTTGCACCAGCTCTTTCATTTTCACCAATTACCAATCTTGAGCTTCTTGGTGTTGAGTAGCTAGTAAATGTATAGATGTTCAATAGAAGCAGCCCTTCGTTTAATTTTTTTTATAATTGGGACGAGTTGCGAAAGAACCAGGCAGATTATGGCAGGGAAAGAGATATCGGTGCTTACAGTAGAAGTACCCGTGGCTTGCCTTTATCTGGGGTTTGATGTTCAAATTTTAGATATTGTTGTTTGAATTTTTAAAACGCTCGTCTAGTCCGGTATTCATTTATAATGCTCTTCGAGGTCTGAAGTTTTAACTTGCCTGATAATTGTTATCCTCTCTGACTTTCACTAAGTGTTGTGATTGTGTGAAATGCCTCCTATAGGCATAACTAGAACACGTCCCAATGTTAAGGAGCCTTCTGCTTTGGGTGAGGGAAAAGGAATGCAGAGAATAGCACCTTGACATGTAACGATAGCTGCAGAATCTTGTCCTCTGGACTGGCCAATAATTATTGGATGAAAGAAGGACAGAAACTAACAAATGTGTTGCATGGAAGGGAAGGTGGTATATTTTGTGTTACTGTGTTTTCCCTCTCAATACCATCTAACTATCTTAATGCTGATCAGTTAATCCTGCATTTTATTAATCTGGCTTCAATTGTGTATGTGCATGGCCATTTTTTAAGAAAAAAATCTTTGTAGTGTAGCTTATGCAACGTGACATTGTCAATATTTTGTGACTTGCACTGAACATTTTTTCCCCCTTTCTATCTTTATTTATACCCCCCCCCACCCCTTGTTTTTTTAAACAGGAGTTTGACAAGAAGTATAATCCAACTTGGCACTGCATTGTTGGCAGAAACTTTGGCAGTTACGTCACACACGAGACAAAACATTTCATCTATTTTTACCTGGGTCAGGTTGCTATCCTTCTATTCAAGTCTGGCTAAAAAAGAGGATGAAACCATGAACTGATGCACTGACGGCTGAAGCCACAGTCCCTTTAATGGCTAAACAGCTGCATGGACTCTATCTTCTGTGTATATGTAGCAGTAAACTTGCTTTCGTTTGCCTAAGGAGGCTTTTTTTTTCTTGTTGCTTTTTTGTGTTTTTTTTGTATTGCACTAAAAAAGGATAAATGCTTTAACAGTGGCCTTTGAAAAAGAATAAACTGAAATGGTCCTACTACCTGAAGACTGGATGACTGAAATTGTTTATGGGAGCAATTCTACCGAGGCAATCTTAACTGAGAAACTTAAGCTTAATGTTTCTGCATTAAACTGTACAGATGACTTGAAATCGATGGCAGGTGTCCTGCAGATATTGCAATATAGATGGTAGTCTTCTTTAAAGCTGCATTTCCTTGAAGAGCTGAAATTGCTGCTGTGGTGACTCCCATCAGCAACTTTTTTTTAATTTTATTTTCAATTGCAATTGGATTTTCAATCCACCACTGTTTTTGATGAGGCCGAGAGTAAGGCAGAGATGTAAAACATTTTTTTCTTCATTTTTAATTTTTATTTAATTTTAAGAGAGAACATTTGCTACATAGAAACGATGCAGATACTTGGCTCACTGAATGTCACGAAGGTGGTTTGATTGCACCCGTGTCTTCAGCTCCCCTCTCGACTCTCTACCCCCTCCTCGCTCGCTCCTCCTTCCCTCCCCTCACTCTGACCATTTCCCCCCCGGCTCGGGTCCTGACCCAACTGTCCGGCTCCTTGGGACGTCCTCCCAACGTGAAAGGCGCTCTATAAATGGAATCTTGTTGTTGTTGTTATTGTGGTTATTATTATTAATGCACACGTTTGTCTGTCAGGCACGAATTGGACCCTATTGCTCCAGCGATTCTTCCGAAAAGAAAAATTATTAATAATGATAATAATAGTCGCGTTCGATATTAGCCCCTGATCATGGATGGCGTCGAGATGCCTCAAAGCATCTCGCACAGCATGCACTGTAAAGCGGAGTGACTGTGTTTATTGTGAGATGCCACTGCGCCAGGCTGACACGTAATATGTACAGCTTCTTACAGACACACACACACTGTAGCTGTCACTGCCAACCTCCAGCAGGAGATGAGGCATAAACCATACAGGCATATTGCATTTTATAAAGCAAGTAGGTGCATTCGTTTGTAATTGGTAATACAGTTTTACTTGCATTTTCGTATAGCGCCTTATCACGTCGTGGAAGCGGCTTAAAGCGCTTCACAGAATTTACTGATAATAATAATCCTTGCATTTGATATCGCGCTTTTCACATCTTCTCGACGTCTCAAAGCGCTTCACAGAATAGGCTGTAAAGTGCATTGACTGTATATTTGCGGGCGAAACGCGGCAGCCAATTGCGCACAGCAGCGTCCCCACAGACAGTCGCGGATTGAAACGACCAATTTATTATTTTTTTTTTAAGCGTAGTGACTGTGTATTTTTGTGGGTGAGGGCGGCAGTCAATTTACGCAAAGCAGTGTGCCACGAAAAGCCACCGACAGGTCAGACAGTGGACGACTCTTCCCTCCTGTTGGAGGGATCCATCATAAGGGGACACAGCCTTAAACTCAGAGCTGAGACAGTCAGAACTGAGGTTGACAAGCATTTCCTCACCCAGAGGCTTGTGAAGATGTGGAATACTCTGTCCCAGAAAGCAGTTGAGGTGGTAGAATCAATAGGGATATTTAAAAGAGACTTAGACAGATGCTTAGATAGTAGTGGTATTAAAGGGTATCGAAAGAGAGGTGCACTGGGATTAAAATATCTGCAAAGATGTCATAAACTGGTGGAACAAGCTCAATGGCCTCCCTCTGCTCCTCTTTTCCTATATATTTGGTGCACGATCTAGGGAGAGCAGGAGATGTGGATAAAGTGACTTTATTTCCCCCCCCCCTCCCCACCACAACAACAACATGTTAGAAACCTCCGTGAAGGTAAGTAGGTAAAGTCATGGAATAAGGGAAGCGCTGCAACGATATCAAGTCGCTATTGATACAGACACATGAGGGGTATAGAGTTTAAACAGGTCTTGTGTATTGTGGGTCCAGTGATCGGATGTTCTGAGGTCCTAAAATCGTAGGAAGCGCCTTGCAGATGAGCAAACATCTCCAATTTATTTAACTACGTCAAGCCTTGCTCAAAAGAATCAATTTACCAGATTGTTTGGAAATCCTGGTTTAATGTTTTCGGTGAGAATAATTCTTCCCCTGCCACCCCCCACCACCTATTTACTTTTTTTTTGGGTGGGGGGGGGTGGGGTGGGGGTAGCACATGCAGCAGAGGAGAGTCTCGTATCATAACCTCAAGAGTAAAACAAAATTATGATTATAACTTTAACATCCTTCTTGTTTTCCTCTCTCGTCTGTTGAATTTATTTAAACAGTGAGCTGTGCTGGCATAATTACTTTCAATTTAAGTAGCTGATATAATTAGGGATAAGTGGGAAGTTGACTAGAAAATAGAAACCTGAGGGTGGCTATAAGTGAACATTTCTTACATTAGGGAGTAGGAACTAGGAGAGTTCCACAGGGATCAGGCACAGATCCATTGCTCTTCCTCCTATCTACGTTAACAGCCTCAATGATGGGATTCTAAATTACATGTCCTATCAATTTCAGCAAAATAAATCCTTTTGCACAGGCTAAGTATATAAGAGAGAGGATCTACTGATAATTAGCAAATGGTCTTGAATGTTGCAACCACACACAAAAAAATATTTATCCCAGGGATCAATGTCAGATCAAAACATGGGTCACAATTAGTGCATAGGTGATACAAAGATAAATGCTGACATGCGGGAGCTTGCACATTGTATATTAATGTTAATTATAGCTCACACTGAGTGGGAATAGATGTGAATGTTTACCCAATTCTAACCCAAGTGATGTTTATTATTTTCTTGTGCTACCTTCACAAGGCTCAATTCCTCGTGTATTTTCCAGCTATTTCCCAGGTGGAGACTTGTAGCGTATTGGTTGGCGAGCTCGTCTCGCCAGCGAGAGGACCTGGGTTCGATTCCTGGCAGGGCCAAACGTTAAGGCGAGTTTCCTTATTCCATACGCCTCTGTTTATTCAGCGGTAAGTAGGAACCCAGTTGGTAGTCGATTGGCAGATCACTTTCCAGGGGTATCAATGCCTTCAAAAATTAATTTCCAAAAAATAACAATTTGGTCACTCAATCCATGACTGCGTGTGGGACACTGCTGTGCGCAATTGGCTTCCGTATTTCACCCATAATACATATATTGTCAATTCGCTTTACAGTATATTCTGTGAAGTGGATTGACTGTGCATTTTGGGGGCAAATCAAAAACAAAATTCCACAACTGACACAAGTCTGACACTTTTCCATTTATTGGCAATTACATTAACAGTTACAATAGCTCTCATTGACAAAGATATGAACCAGGACTGAAGCAGGTGAAGCTTCCCCATGCTTTAATCACAAGCTACGCAACCTTATATACAGAAATATCAGGATGGGCCTGGGAAACGAACAAAAAAAATCTCAGAAAAATAAATTACCAGTTGAAACCTGGGAAGTTTGGAAATCAATAATAAATACATACACCTCTCTCTTATATTGAAGATGAAATCAGTTTGAATTTGTGAACAATTATTTTTAAAAAAGGACAAACCAACACATCACAAGACAACTTGAGGACCACAAGTTTATTACATGCAAACCCAAAAAAAACAAAATAAATCTCCACCAAGGACAATGCACAAATTGCCTGGTTATGCCAATAAAGGCAGATATAGATCCAATAGTCTGATATGTGAAGAATTGTAGGGAAGAATTTAAGTTTCCCACTAGTTTTCACAATTACAGTATAGGGAAAGAAAAAACTGATTTCTTTTTGCCCTGTTTAAG